TGGACACAGCAACCTGGGCAATGGTGGGAGCTGTCTCACCAGTGCTGGGCAGAGGGGAAGAATCACCTCCCTCAAACTGCTGGCAACACTTTTCCTAAAGCAGCTTGGAAAGAGAATGGTTTATGTAACTATGTCTAAGGATAGCAAGCAAAACAACACAGAGTTGGGTTATAGGGACATTGTTGGACATTGTTGGTGCTGTCTTCTCAGTGGAATTTGGGTTCTTTTTCAGCACAAATAGGAGATCTCAGGCAGCACACAGCTCACTCTTCCTTAGGAACAGACAAAGTTAATTTGTTTGCTCTTGGTCCCTTTGAACAGTGAACAGATGCCAAGGAGGCCGAAGGGGAATGAGAGGAGGGGAAGGAAGACTGGGAATGGAGCTGTGTAAGCAACAGCTGGGAAGTCTTTTGAGATCATTAACAAGCAAACAATATTCTATAAGTCATGTTTTGTTATTCAAATTAAATTTTTTATTTCTTAGGTGTACAGTTTAATTTTTTTTTTTTGTGAAACTGTGCTCACACTGACAGTTTGCTGCTGGCAAGCCAAATGGGAGAGGCAGACCTAATAAACCTGTGCAGGACCTGCTGTGAAATATTTTAGGGAAAAAGCCTTGCCATTGTCCAGGAGGTCTGGATGATGATGGAGTGGAGAGCTTTTGAAACAACACAAGCATGTGTGGGACATGATAGCATTGCAGGGAATACATCACACAAACAATATCAGGCCTCAGAGCTGGAGGAGCTGTCTGGTGTGAGCCTCCTGAGATCCAGCAAGACAAAGAACAGGCAAATCCATCCTCATACTGCCCCACCTGCTGCTGGACTGCCTTAGGTTGGGGATTGGCTGTTTAACAAAATTCCATCTTTAAAAATCTGACTTTTCTGTGGGCCTGTACAAGCAGCAATTAAGGCGTTACTTAATGAAATACTGAAGTAGCCTACCAAATATTTCTGAAAAGCAATTTTCTCTGGATGGATGACTGCCTTTGAAGTGTTTCAGAAAAGTGATATGTTTTAAAACTCAACCTTCATTGCTCTTGCTACTTGTATCACAACAGTAGAGTTTTAGTGTTTTTCTTGATCTCTAATTTGGATTGTGTTGTCCTTGCTAGTGTTAATAAGCATTCTCCTGCCAGAGTAATCTCACTGAGAATAGACCTGACATTGTATCCATACTCTGTGGCACCCACATACCTGGTTCCTTGTTTATTGGGAATCTCTCCCCCGCATGAAGACTTTATTTTTTTACTTTTGTGATTTTTTGCCAGAAAACACAACCGATTATGAATAGCGGTGCTTGGTTGGAAATATGGCACTTCGAAACAAATTTATAGTTGAAAATTATAAAATTCACTAAACAAAAAAATGCTTGCAGAGTGATCTTTCCTACTCTTGAAATCTTAGTGACTGTACTGTAGGGGGATACAGTATGGGTAAATGAAGGTGCTATAGAATGTAATCTTACCCCTCAAAGAGTTGCAGCTGAGCCAATTGCTGAGGATTAGGAACAGGCCTGATGTTAACAGGCCGCAGCTGCAGCCAATCAGCAGAGTGTTATAAAAGAGTGCATTGGTTGGCTGAGGTGAACTGGAGTCAGTTGCTGCTGTGGGGACAAGGAGGAGTCAGTGCCTGGAGGAGCTGCCTACAAGAAAGTCAAGGCGGTATGAAACTCTGGCAATATGGAACCCTTGCAATGTAATGACAACACTGTGCAGTTGCTCTCTCATGTCTTTTCCTAAGGCATATTTGTCGATCTTCACAAGGACAAAGCTTGTTTTGGAAACTGTGATTGTAAATTAATTAAAAATAGTTTTCATTTTAGAAAACTAAATGTGTTGGTAGTAGCATACTCATTGCTAATGGGTGATTGTACTTTTTCAATAATAATAAGGGATTCAATGAAGCTTTAGAAGATGCTAGGATATGAGTAACTAGATAATCTACATATTTGAGTTTTATTCCCAAATAAGATGGATCTCCCAGAGCCAGAAGTCTGAGTTTATATTTGATAATTATATGAGACTCTTGAGCTGTCTTGCAGATTGTAATTCAATTTCTCTGAGAAAAGAGCTTTAAGACATGAAGAAAGAATGAGTGCTTCTAATTCCAGGAAAGCATTGTGACCGGCTTGGTCAGTTTGCTGACTCTGTCCCAAACAGAGCCCAGCAGATTATTCACCATAATAATGCTGGAGCAGCAAATAAGAATGCAGAACCCAGAAATCGCAAATTGTACCTTTCTCAAATACTGGTTTGGTTCTGTGGAAAAAATAGTTTTTGAGTGTATTTATCAAAATGTCAACAGTGGTTTCCTTTACTAGGAGATGTTCTGTAGTGAGGTACATCAGAAATGGCTGAAAGGTGTTTGGCACTTACTGGACAACCTGTGACAGGCAGCTGCCCAAAATTAGGGACCTGGATCACTGTGGCAAAGGCTGATGATTTGTTTCTCTGACTCTGATGATAGGTTATGTGTGGATATGTGTGTCTTTATTCATGTATTCTTACACACATGCAGGCCCACTCCATGCTCTGTAAGTGTTGTACAGTGGATTATGTTCCCATCACTGAAAACAGCAAAGGTAACTCTGGCAGATGTGGTTGAGATTCACCAATTCACCACATCTGTTCTGTTCCAGCTCTCTGTAGTGCCAGGCCCAAGGGCTGTAAAGCTAACCTGGATCAAAAAGATCAGAAAGCTGCCATAGCAGAAAAATGGTCAGTCAAAACCACCTGATTTTTGCCCATTGAGGATGCTTTTTTTCATCCATAGATATTGAGTTAAATACTTATGGGGATATGAATCCTGGTGAAGAATGGTTTTTTGAATCTACCTAGGATAGTTACTATAACTGCTGAGTGTCTTTAGGGATTTTCTGGATCCTAAGCAAAGCACCTTATGACTTCAAAAGGTAACAGTGTAGGGGGATACAGTATGGGTAAATGAAGGTGGTATAGAATGTAATCTTACCCCTCAAAGAGTTGCAGCTGAGCCAATTACTAAGGATTAGGAGCAGGCCTGATGTTAACAGGCCATAGCCAGTCAGAAGAGTGTTATAAAAGAGTGGATTGGTTGGCTGAGGTGAACTGGAGTCAGGTGGCTGCTGTGAGGACAAGGAAGAGTCAGGGCCTGGAGGAGCTGCCTGCAAGAAACATCAAGGAGGTGTGAAACTCTGGCAATGTAGAACCCTTGCAATGTACTGACTATAGAACTCTTGCACTATATGTGTGTAAATACAAGAGAAAAAGAGGAAGAAAACACAGCCCATAAAGAATAAAACAATTTTTTAAAAGTCATTGTTTCTTGTAAAACCTATCTGAGTGGGAGCTAGAGAAATAACTGCATTAGTGTACTTTAATCTCCATGGTATTTAAATTCAGAATGTGCCAGACTGGGTCATAGCCATACATGAGAAAATGGGGACTTCAGAGATAAGGCTGGGGCAGTTGCTTTAAATACCATAAAGTGCAAACCCATCATTTAGTCAAAATAGCTTATTTCTGGACATCTGCACAGTTTTAGCTGTGACAATTAACTGGAAGATTGAATTCTCACATGTTTGTGCTAAGTTTACTGAAATCTGTGAACAGGAGCTTGGAAGAGCCTCAAAGTGAGTTTAGAGCATGGAGTAGGTTTAGACCAGGGAGGACCATGGCCAGAAGGGAGAGGAGCCATGAGATCTGTTAGGAGCAGACCTGGTGCTGCTGGCACTGTGGCACCAGGGGACATGTTCACCACACACAGAGACCGGGAGGAATTATTAACTTTGCACCTGCTCAAGGAATGTTCCCATAAAGGAAATCATATAAATACATTGATTTGTTGGAGCAGAACAATGTTTGTCCTTTTGAGGAGAAAGAAACTTCTGCTTTGAAATAGGGGAAGATGCCAAAAGCAATAGATTAAAATTGGGAGTGGGTGGTAATATGGACTAGAAATCAATGCATGGTGTGATGCAGTCATTAGACACAGATGCTAAACTGGAGATAAAAATGGAAATGCAAAGCTGGGCTCTGGAAAGAAATTATTTGTTGCTTTGCAGTTCTCTGCAGGGCAAGTTAAATGTTGTCTATGATCTGATTAAAAAGAAACTGAAAGGTATCTGTCATGAAAAATCTTTGGCAAAAAGGGAAAATGTTAAAGATGAGGTTTTCTCTAAAGTTCTCTCAAAGGACATCTGTGGTCAAATGTCAAAGAACCTGAAAGTATCTCAAAGGGCCAACATGAGTAGTACTGAAATTGCTGTATTTATCTATTCATACATGCAAAGTTTGTTTTTCTGTTTAATATTTTAAATACATACAAAATGTATATGACAAATGCAGTAAATATGTTCAGAGTTAATGATCATGAAATGTAAACCATCTGTTTATTCATTATGCATTAAATATATAAATACTCATCTGTTTATACATGTGTATGTATGCATGTATATGTACAAATGCATATGAATTAAGTTTATTTTTACAGTTTGCTTTTGTCATTGTTTGAGACAAAGTTTGTGCACTCTTGCATTGTTTCCTCCCAGTGGAATACCTAATGCTGTATGTTACAAGCCTATCTGTCCACAGCCTTGGACATGTGAGGAGTAGCTGCTAATGTAGCTGTCATATCAGAAGATATTTTCAAGATAAAGAGGAGTTCTGTGGACATCCCTGAATCTGTGATTCTTTTTCTAGTTATGTTCAAAGAAAAAAAGTAATCATTTTCAGTCTTACTGTAAAGAAAAGCTGTAAATTGCCTAATTTTAAGGCAAGTGAGAGTAATCTGTCTCCAGGCCTTAAGATTCCTGAATGAAAGAAGAACGTTGCCTTTTTCACTATTTTCAGCCTCCAATAATCAAGCATAACTTAGGTTCATGTTCACTAGCAAATCTGTGAAGTTACCTTTGCCTGAAGGCAGCAGTGAATACACAACAATTGTTCGAGTTATGTGGCTATTTCCAGTTTAAAATGTTCACATTTGGCTAATTGTATTCATTTATTTCTTCCTAAGGCAAAAAATGGGGAAACAAAATAGTAAGCTGGCCCCTGAGGTGATGGAGGATCTGGTGAAGAGCACGGAGTTCAATGAACATGAGCTAAAACAGTGGTACAAAGGATTTCTAAAGGACTGTCCAAGTGGCAGACTGAACCTTGAGGAGTTTCAGCAGCTCTACGTAAAAGTAAGTTATTTACTAAGTTATTTGTTAACTTAAAAGTAAGTTGTTTGACTGTAGAAAGAGTTATGAAGTAATGTAAAGCAAACATATGGTCCAGAGCTGCTGGTCATTTGGACTGAGGAATAACTTTGCTTGGAGAAGCAATGGTGAAGATGAGACAATGAGTGGGAAGTGTTACCCTCATCACACCAGTGATTTGTGTAACTATAGTGACAGGAACCAAAAGTTTAGGAAAAAGCTGTGATTTATTCACAAGAAATAGATTACATTCTCTGTGCTCTGAAATTCATGACGTGAATTTCAAATTTTAAAGGTGACTTTGTTCACCTTTAAAGGATGGCCATGGTCCTGTTCAATATAAACCATGTGATTGCTGGACATTTATATAAAAGTGGCGAACTTTTATGGCAGTATGACTTGCAGATAAATTATGCACTGTTCACAAAGGATTTCTTCCATAAATTTTAGATATTGCCTTTTTTTTTTCTCTTCTGTCACTTTTTCTCACTTTATTGGGAAGGGAAAGCAAGGTGATCTGTTTATTTTCTTCTTGTTTTTCATTACTTTGTCATGTTCAATGCAGTCTTTCCCTTACATTTATTATGTATTTATTCTGTAACAAGAAGAACATGGGGGAAGCATAAAAAATGTATTCATGTTAAAAAGATAATTATATTTTAATTCAGAATTGAGTGTCGACCTAAAGGTCAGACACTTCAAAGTACTGTTAATTAGGACAAATATTGAATGGCAATGATGAACTGTAGGATCATAAATACATTTGAAAGGCTGTTTTATTTTTCTTCAGCCTCACATTGTAAGTAGTTACTGTTGAGCACATGGGCAATTTTTGCAGACAAGTGGGACTGTTGTTTTCCTCAGATGCACTCTGCAGTTCTTTCCTAAATTTCTTCAAGATTGAACCAGATCACTCTGCAAAGTATTACCTAGACAATTTTTCTTTCTAATGAATGGCTCTAGCATAAACTTCTAATTCAGCTTACAAAATAAGCTTCTGTCTTCATATTTTAATATTCATGGCTAAAGGTGCTGCCTCACAATCCTATTCTTAATTAACAAATGAGTTTGTAATGAATTATATTTTTAGATGAAAGAATCTGTACAGCCTCAGGTGTTTTACTTGTTATTGACTGATCATTTATAAGTTCCATTTTAAACAGTACTCACTGCACATCCAACAAGAGCAGACATCCAGTCGTTGCTCATACATGTTTCTGGAAAAAGTAAACCTTCTTTAAAAAATTCTTAATAAAGTATGTCAACTCTTCAGAAATAATTTTTTCTCTTTGGAAAATCACAGTAAAGGTGGTTTTTGGTGATTTGCTTTGTTTTGTGTTTTTGTTTGGGTTTTTTGTTTGTTTGGGGCTTCTTTTGGGATTTTTTTTTGTTGTTTTTTTGGTGGGGTGGTGATTTGGTTTGGATTTTTCTATGATTTTGTACGCTGTGAGGAAAAACATCAGGAAATAACTCAGGACTTCCTTCCTTCAAACAGGTGTTTGAAGCATTCATAGATAGTACACAAGATACCTTACTCATGAAGACATATCAGAAAGTAAATTCAATATCATGTTTTCAGAGATGGTAGTGCAAAAAATAACATGAAGAGCACAAGCAGTATTTTGCTCCTGAAATTTGAAGACAGCTTTGTAATCTTATTAAGCTGCAATATCAGCTTTTAGTTTTATGGCCTCGTGTATCTTTAGACATGGACATGAAATGCCATTCTCTGCCTTGCTTTGGTAGTTGTGGGGTTTGATTTTGCTATGTAATGGCACTGCCATATATTTAGTCTAATTTGTCATCCTATATTTAATGTCCATATGGGGCAAAATACTAATTTTGTGAGGAGAAATATGGTTATCTGTAGTAAATCCAGAGCTTTACTTCTGTGTGTGTCACAGAAATGCTTGTAAAATAATGTCTCTGAGGAGCTCATAGTCTGAGTGTTGGCCATGGTGGCAACTTCTTGTGTTGGACATTCTGTCTACCCCAGCTTCTGGCTGCAGATAAACCCCCAGATGTGAAATTTATCTTTCCAGGAGGAGCCACCAGAAGGAGACTGAAATCTTTATGGTTACATTTATGGCTTCTCACTTCAATTAAAATATATTCAGGGTGAAAATGCACGAAGCATGTATTGATTTGCAATTCCTCTGCATAAACTTCTAGTTGGGAGGGATGACATTCATCTGTTTGTCTGAACTGGATTTTATTGAGGAAGATTTCCATAGATCAATATATTTTGAAAAGAAATAAAAGACTTGCTTCCATTTCCAATTCAGGTTGACTTAAGGTGACATTGTTTCTTTGTTTGTGAGACCTGTGGGGAGCACTTTCATGTGTGTAGATAGAAAGGTGTTGGTCATCTAACTTAAGTGCAAAGGAAACTTTTTTTATTTTTACTAATTCAGAATATAAAATATTATCAACTTAAATAGACAAAACATTTTATATTAGCAATACTTTGAAGGGAATTTCCTGGTTATCTGCACTTCTCTTCCATCAGATTTACAGAGTGAGGTGCACAATCTTAGGGCACAGAAACCGTTTTGGGGTTTTTTTGTGAAACCCAACTAGATGTGTCCTAGGATCACACCTTGTGTTACTGTATCTAATTGCTGCTGATAAGCTTGAGTTGGTCTGAAAGGGAACCTCCAGAACATGTGTGATGTGGATGTTGGGTCCTCAACATGAACCCTTCCAGCTCTACATATTTGCATCAATTGTACTGTGCTGTTTACTGATGTAGATAAGTACTGTATTGACTAAAGGGGGAATTACTCTAGTTTGGCTTGGGAACATTTGCTATTGAAATTTCCATTATGAATACAAATCATCAAGTGCTTAAAATAAATAGTTTCACCAATGGACTCTACAGAAAAATTATTTGCAGCACTTTTAATGCAAGTGTCTATAAAAATTTTCATCCAAAAATACTTCTTTTAAATAAGCAGCTAATAAGCATAAATATACTTCATATTGTTGCATATTTAACATTTTCTGCAATATAGTAGGTTCATTGAAAATAGTCCATTTTTGGGTAGATAGATTCTTCTTGGGATACGAAATCCATGGCAAACTGTTAGGGCTCATGTTTCCTTCCATGTTGCTGAATGAAGTGAATGTTCTGCAATTTTTAAAATAGTTATTGAAGAGTTGATTATGCACTGCAAGCACAGAGCCACAAAGAGTCCTCAGTACTGAAACACTGAGATAGCTGTCCTCAAAGTCTGCACAGAGCATGGGAGGGGGAGAAATCTGTGGATAGCATTCTGAGAAAACTAAAGCAAACATTTTGTAAAGTAACATGCAAAACCACAAGGTATTGCTTAGGACAGGAGCTGGTGCTAAATTCTAAGTTTCTCCGGGGTATGGGAGTTACATCTTCCTGCTGCAGAGAACTATCTAGAACAGTAGAAAAAGCAAAATCACCTGACTGGAGGCCTTTTGCTTTCTCTCTTAGGTGACAAAAATAATGTAATTGCCTTGCCATTATCACAGTGGTTTATGTACTCCTTAAGCTGTAGAAAACTGAATCAATTAGAGGAAGAGCATTGCCAGCAGGTCAAGGGAGTTCATCCTGCCCCTCTACTCAACCCTGGTGAGATGTATCTGGAGAGTTGTGTCCATTTCTGGGCTTCTCAGGGCAAGAGAGAGATGGAGCTCCTGAAGCAGGTCCAGCAGAAGGGGACAAAGATGATGGAGGGACTGGAGCATCTCTGCTATGAAAAAAAGCTGAGGGAGATGGGCCTGTTCAAGAAGAACTAACTGAGAGGGGATCTCATCAATGTTTATCAGTATCTGAGGGGAATGTGTCAAGAGGAATGACCAGGCTCTGCTCCACGGTACCCAGCAATAGGACAAGAGGCAGAAAGTGATGCACAGGAAGTTTGTCCCAAATATGAGGAAGAAATTCCTTACAGTGCAGTGACCACACACTGGAACAGGGTGCCCAGAGGGGCTGGGGAGTCTCCCTCACTAGAGATATTCCAGAACCCCCTCTGGATGCAGTTCTGTGCCATGTGCTCTGGGATAACCCTGCTTGAGCAGAGAGGTTGGAGCAGATGATCTGCTGTGGTGTCTTCGAACTTTACCTATTCTGTGAATTATTGTGGCTCTGTTTGAATCTGCACTGATTGCCCTCTCATTTATCTACCTGAGATGAGATGTGACCTTCTGGGCTGCTGGCAATATCCCAATTAACCTATTCTTCTCTAGGAAATAGCATCAGACCAGCTGAAACCTAAAATTTCCTTCTTCAAAGAGAATATCCTAACTGTTAAGCTTAATCCCTACTAGCTGTCTTAATTTTCCTTTTGCTCTCCTAAAAAGTTCTTAATTCTTTTATCTTGCATAAAACTTAATTATAATTGCAGGTACAGAGCTAAGAATTTAATATACAAACCTGTCATTAAAATAAAAGATACCTCTTGTGATAAAAAACCTCTTGTGTGTTCCTATCATTCTTTAGGGTTTCTTGCAGTCTAAAGGGCCAAATACATTTTCCTTCAGATCTTTTGAATTCACTGGGTTTAGAGGAATATGCCCTAGAGTGTGTAAGTGTGCATAATCACTGCTAATAGTCATAGGAATTATGCATGTTTATTAAGTGGAAAATAGGCTTCTATATTGTGATACTTCTTGGAACTGGGTCACTGAACATGAGACGCATATATCTGCTCTAATAGAAACAAAAACCAATGGTCCTTTAGCTGGAAGAGTAGAGATAGAAATGATCATAATATAATGCTAACACGATAAAGAAACTTACTTTGTGAATTTATTGCCCCTATATTGTTTAGATATGTTTTGAAGTTTTATAGATAACTTTTAAATGAAGGCTGTAAAAAAAAAAAACCAAAAAAAAAACCAGAATGCTATTTCATTAATTGGAATCAAATAATTTGTCATATTTTTGGATTCTTTCTCAAATTTCTGGCCTTGAAGGGAATTGATTTTTAGTCCTTCATTTTAATATGTGT